CGGTTGAATGTAACGAAACAAGAAGTACGTAGGAAATAAAAATTTATTATAAGTAGAAACACAGTACATTAATAATTAAAACTTTTGTCTTCGTTCAAAGTGAAAAGGTTACGAGCCGTGAATTGCGTCTTAAAATTTCAACTTTAAATTTAAAATATTAATAGGTAGCTTTGTAGCTCATAAGTAAGTTTAAAAACTGCGCCAGACTCTCAGCTTTCATTATCGTTAAAAAAAGGACTACATAATACGCTACTTTTGCTAATACCGGACCTCAAAGACATATAGGCGTAAAAATGTAATAAATAGCCATTTGGCAACGAGATTGTTTTCTTTGCATTCTTAAAGTTAATTTTTAAAATTAGCAATATGATTTGGAAACTTTTAGTAGACCATGCCTTTTACATCAAGAGCTATTACGGCTATGCCAAAGAAAACGCTTCTGAAGCTGCCAGGTTGTACAGGGAACAAGTACAAAACAGAGGTGAATCACAGCCTGAAACTTGGCCTGATTATCGAATAATTTTAAGAGTCCATAATTCTTATATGGAAGGACGTCTACCAGGCGCAAGATCAGGACGTATCAGTGAACTTCGAGATCCAGATGCCGTCGAATCAGTCCTCGAAGAAGTGGCCTGTATATGTTGTACGCGATATGTTGATCTTTTATGATTAAAATTTTATGCTAATCAAATCTGGTCAAAACTAATGCATTATTACCAATTATTTGTTAATATAACATATATACAGACAGTAAGCTGTACATCGAATTATGCGACAACGATAGAAACATTATAATTGCGGTCAGAGTCCAATTATAGAGTATAATTATTAGTAATTAATCAACAGCCGAATAACCATAGCTTGGCTTGACAATGCGATGTGATAAGTGCATTAACGATTAAATTATACGCATGCATAAGGCTGTGGTCTCTTAAAAGAGCTTCCAATCGCGTTACGCTATTTACTATGATACAGTTATTGAAAAAAAAACTTTAAACCGTCAAAATGCGATATATTTTATCGTGGTAGACTTTTTCCGGTGATACCCTATTACTAAATGTATTTTTTTAAATTTAATTTTAACTAGGACCCGACGTTTTAGATGCTTTATAGCAACCGTACTCATTATGGACTAAATATTTAGACGTAGTCGTCATTTTAAAACATATTTTCAAAATTTTAATAGTCTGTGTTCAAGTATACCACTCGCGTAAACTACAGACAATACTTTGAAAAGTGCGAGCTGTCAGTAGTGTGTGACGTTTACGCGAGTAGTACACATTTAAATAAAACACTTCAACAGTTTAAAACTCGATATATATTAGTTAAACTCATTTGAAATTTATTTTTACCGGTCATTTCGGGTGCAAAGCATCTGGGTAACTAATATATATCGCGTTTAAGTGTTTTTATTAATCGTTGATATTGAATTGCGCATACGATTCGACTCTAGTTAACTTAAATGATTTCAAGACAGCAATGTTTGGAAACTACCTTACTGTTCTAACCATTAAACAATTGGATTTAATTAATAAAAAGATAATGCGCAAAAGTACGCTGTCATCTATAGCAGACCCCAGCCTTACTAGCGATGAGATTTCGGACGAAATATTTTGGCAGTCCTTGTGATACATTGTTTGCGCACTTGCCGGCGACAATTACACGTAGTTCAGTTTTAATTGTAGTATTGCACAATTTGTTAAATCACGGCTTTTGGCATCTGAAGATATTCGGTTGTGATTAAATTAAAAATTAGTTTAGATTGAAAAAAAAATCGACACGGGCGGGCCTTGAACCGGCACGCACAGTGTTTCGTGCTGCTCTAACCAATTAAGCTACCGAGTAGATGCCCGCACAAGACCCATCCGTGTCGTAAAAATGTTTTTAATCGAAAAAAAAAAAAAATCGTTTTCAGACACTCGAAAATATAAATATAAATACTAATATTATCTGGCCCCATAGCTAAACCTTTTAAACACTTTTGAATAACAAATATATACGCTTAAATTCTTACAAGTTATTGAGCTCCATCCTAAATATCTTCCCATCATTGTGCGATTCGATGAGAAGTAAAACTTCTCGGAACAAAACAAATTGACCTTAGAAGATCCTCAATACACGAAAACAAGTAATATCAGGCTTACAACGGAACGAAACTTTGTGGGTGTCTATTCGTAGATCTTCGATAGTTTTGTAACGTTATACATAAGTATTATATTATTTGTTGTTGTAGAATAACGATGTGGTGTTGTAGAATACTGATGATGATAGATGTAATAGACAATTTTTATTTTTAATCAATTTCATTTGTAAGTAGTCGGTCTTGTTAAATACTCTGCCGGGCCACAACATTGAACTGGGTACTTCTTAAACAAAGTTAAATAGTTTGTACAAAAAAAGCATTAAAATTAATTATCTGTTTAAGATAACCAAGAATTTAGAAAAAATGCTCAAATACTTTATAAATATTTTCTATAATTTTATTTATTTCTATAATATAGTGATTGTATAAGTTAAAGAATACTAAATTGAGTAAGTGTCATTAATTTTATCTACAGCTGTATTTTTTTTTGCTAAAGGGGCAGCAGAGGGAAGCAGGATTTTACCTGAAAGAAATACAATAAAGGACCCTGTAATTCTTTTCTCCTTAAATACTTAAAGAATCCTCAACCTTTGCAACAAAAGCAACCTTTAATCATAGAGTAACTATAGAGTACTGACAACACAGTAACTAACAAGTAATTAGTGATAAGGCTTAATCTTAACGACCAAATAATTTGGCTTCACCGCTGATAGCGATACCAAAGCTACCGAGGCTTTAATAAAACAACTGTGTAGGAATAGGTCGGAAATTACGAAAAATTAATTCTTAATAAAAATAGATATTTGATGATAAATTAAGAAAAGTCAAAATTCATTTACTCACATAGTTACGTAACTAGGTACTTATAAATGTCACACCAGTTTAAAAGTAAAGACCCTAATGTATCGTTAGGCAATATAATTAGATAAAATAGAATTTTCAAAGCTAAAATCGGTTACAACGTTTTGATAAGATGAAACTAATTATTTGCATCATTCAAAGAATAAAGCATAACACAACATAGAACCAAGGTATTCCCTTAATCAAACAAACACGGTTAATAAACACGTAGCTCAAACGAAATACGGAAAGGTCAGAGTGACAATAAATCCTAGTTGTATAATCCCACCGACCTGCTATTAATCACACTTTTCCCAATATATTTGTTTAACTATGTTTAAAAATTATTTTTTTGTTCCTTGGTCGAATGGTAACAATGATATATTTAGGTAATAATCAACGACTCGTAGGTTCCATTCTTATCGAGTTTAAAAGTTAATTAAAAATCGATTCTGCAAAATCTGGATATTAAGAGAGAAGTACATTGAAATTTCATCCAGGTCAGGAACTACCGTCCACAGATAAAAAAAAATTGTCATCAATCTGTGGTTTTCTCAATGTCTAAGATCTAAAAATATAGTTGACAAATTCATTGCAAATCGAATTGCTTAGAGGAAACATTAATTCAATTAATATAGCTGCTTAGACAATGAGGAGCAATTACAATTCCATACACGGTACAGGCTTATCACAAGACGGTATAGATGGGTTATAGACGATAAATCAGATAATAAGTAATAAGTATGTTTACTTTTACTGTAAAGTTGGAATAGCCGAAGCAATTAAAAAATCGTTTGACAAGTTATTTATTATCTTTCTTTGTAAGCGTTAGAGTATATACTCACAAACTGACCAAAACAATATGCTTTCTGGTCACTTCGAAATATATAATATAATATGAAGTAAGTTTATACAGAATCGTTAAATTCTCAAATATTACTAGCTGATCCGGCAGAAATAGATTTTTTTTGATACTATTAAATTTATCAAATATTTGAGTATTATTTTCCATTATGTTGCACCAAACGTAATTATATACATAACATAAAACCGGTTCTCGCTAATCTTAAAATATATTTTTATAATTATTTTTTTTCAGATCATATAAGGGGGGGATTATTCTTTCGTACATATTTCCGCAGTACATGCAACGGAGGCCTCAAAGATTAGTAATTTTTCCGGGTTTTTCCACATTTTCCACAGTTCCTTCCTATTAATCGCATTGTAATGTTATAAAACCAGTCTTTCTCGACATTTTTCAATTTGGACGAACAGTTCCTGAGATTAGCGCGTTTAAACAAACTCTACAGCTTTATGTTACTATAGATATCAGACGATAGACGAACTGGATAACTGGAGATAGGCCAAAAGGTTACTTACTGTCTAGTCTAAGTTACATTGCCGACTTGAGCGTAATCGATGCCTCTAAGTTCTTTCTTTGATGAGGTAAGGATAGGTCAAAATCAGAGGAGAATTCCATATTTTAGTATTTCGATATTACCTGACTGAAATTCAGGCAAGCGTTCACTTGTCGGCAACAGCCTTAGACAACATGCTTAACCTAATTTCGGTTACTTTTGGAAGGTACCTCTAGTACTCTACGCTTTGCAGCTTTTCGATCAATATCACACAGAAGCGGTATATTCAATTGGTCTTAAATAACAATTTTTTTTTTAATAATTTGGAAAGTTTTTTATATTTAACTATATCAATTACAAATCGATAGATAATTAAAAACAAATACGACACGGACAGGACTCGAAGCTTAACAATACAGCTACTGTGACCTTCACGTCAATTGGCTAGAGTAACAGAACGGTATTTTTTTTTTTAATTTATTTTCGATTATTACTTTAATTTGGAAAATTTGTCATCTTTACTTTTTTACATTAAAAAATAATAATTTGCAGTATATTTAAGGAGTATTTGTTTTAATAGGGTCTGAAATTCGTAAAAAAAATCTACAAATAATAATATTTATTATTTGTACCTACACGTGGTATATACAATAATAAACTAGGCATAGCTGTCTTATGATTGTCTTATTTTGACTATAAAGTACTCAAAAATTGCCTACCTGACTTCCTCGTGCTTCTGTATGTAAATTTTATGAAATTGACCCTCGACCGGTGAAATGATATCGTTCTTCATCTCCATGGCAACGTGTTGAGGCAGCACGGACAGCAGCAGTCTTTCCTATGTACGAGAGGCTATTATTAAAAAACTATTTTAAGTGGAATACCTAAAAATAGAATCAAATCCGTTATAATACGTACTGGAACACTATATAGGCTTCTCGAATACCTGAGCACAGAGTACAGAACAAACCAGTAACGATCAACGCGCTATAAACTACTTCACTTACTTACTAATAGAGGAGGACAGACAAGCATGTGGTTCACTTGATGGTAGGTGAAATACCCGAGCCTATAGCATCTAAGCAAGATGTGCTGTCGACCTATTTTGGCGTAAATCCACAGACTGGAACCGAAACGTGATTAAAGTTCATGGCTTATTCATCTGTAGATGGTGGTTCGTGGCCCGGACGGAATTTCAATATTCCTACTACCCATTTAATTTCCAGGTATCCAGACGAAGTCCAACGTGTTCCAGAAATATAAAATTTATTAGGAAAATTTCCCGACGGGAATCGAACCCACGACCGGTTGATTATTAACCGTACATAGCTACCATCAACTCACGCGCCAGTCAAAGTTTGGGGTGGTTGGAAAACACATAAGTGATGGTGAAGGTTACTTTATTATACATGCAAAACAACGCAAATGCAATGGTCTCCTCCTACTGTATTGTTCTGTAATCTGTGTTCAGGTTGAACTTCTGTTTCAACTTGCTTGTTAATAGTTCGTCGAGATAGTTATGCTTTGTTACGATATCGTAGTCAAATACCAATATTCCTCCCATGTAACTAACTTAATTACGCTGCAGTACTGATCACGGATATGCACATACCACTGTCGATACGTCACAAAAACAAAATCAAACTTTAGAACTAAGAAAACAATTATATGACACAAACGTCTAATATATAAATTACTATTTAGTGGTTATCCTCAAAAAATGGATTTCGGCACCCTTTTAACGGTTTAAAACCCGAAATATATTATTTAACTTTTCGGATTTTTTTTTATTTCGGATGCTATGCAGTAACAATCGTCACAGGGGAGCTGAACATAGTGGGTAACCCTAATGTAAAAGTCGACCCTGCTACACTAGTCGCCACCTGTTTCGTTGTCCTTGATTTTTTTAAAAAAAAAAATTCCCTTTTTTTTTTTTAAAAAAAAAAGAGGGTTAAATTTTGGTTTAAAGGAAAAATTTGTTTTTTGGCTTAATTTTCTTGACTAGTCGTTAAAATAGACAAATTACGTGGGTACGTCAGACTTTAGATCACGAATGTTTTAACAAATAAGTATTTCCCAACTTTGTCTATACCTTACTCGAGCAGAAGTTAATAAAATAAAATACTCATAATGTTGTAGAACAAACGAAATATTTATTACTTACTCGAGTAGTACACATTTAAATAAAACAGTTTTAACGGATTAAAAGACCAAATGTCCCCCTTGTGACCACAACTTCTGCAAAGCATCTGAAACGTCAGGCAGTAGTAAATTGTGAACAACTACACATTTTGCGTTTTAAAATTGTTTTATTGAAATTGTTTCATGGAGCGAAACATTTCGCGTTCACAAACGTTGAAAGTGTTGCAACGGTTGCAAGACTTAGTTTCGAATATGACGTGATCTTTACCAATTTCTCGTTCTCGTCCTCCATATCGAGCCGAGCAGCGATGCAATTCCGCGTATCGAGGAAGGCCCGACGCTGCGCCGTCTCCATCAGCGAGTGCATCAGTGCACCGACCACGTTCACACACACGAACACCACCACGTTGCCCACCATCTAAACAACAATACATAAATAAAACCTCTTTTAGATTACGCTTTAAAACAATGGTTTTCAACGTTGACTTGCTTTGCGTCTCGATATTTACTTTATGGCTGTTGAAGGGCTCGTTGTATGTAATGTATACAACGGGTCGTGGATTCGATTCCCACTTTATTACGTCCCCCAGTTTATAATTTTCCTGAAATGTATTGGACTTCGCCTGGAAATCGAAATTAAAAGGGATGAATATCGAAATCCGTACGGATCACAAACCACCATCCAGGGATGAAAACAGCCGTCAAGCTTAATCGCGTTTCAGTTATAGTCTACGGATTTCGTAATATCCAAAGCCGAAATAGGTCGACAGCGCAGCTTCTTTAGGTTTTCTGTTGCTGGGGTTTTTCAACTACCTAAATTGGACCTCGGATGTTTTTTTTTCTTCCCTCCAAGAATAGAAATGGTCTGCCCCATACCCCGTATACTTTTATTGGGAACCATTGAAAAGATTCTTGTGAGTTAGTCTGAAAAGATACACATACTGCCGCGGACATATTTTCAGGTTATTTTAGAAAAATAATTGTTCTATACACATTTTTGCGATATCTTGACTCGTTTATATAAATGGTACTAATCAACACGGCAATAATTTTTTAATTAGAATCAGTAGTACCTAAAATTAGCGCAATCAAACAACCAAAATTTACAACTTATAACTATAATATCAGTATAGATATAATAAAGCACTTTGTGGCATCAATATTGTGCATTTTGGACTTTCTACAAGCGCGATTCCATACATTATTATATATATAGCAGAGAAAATAAACAAATAGTGGCAAAGTTTGGTAATATAAATTATAACACAGCTGGTTTGTTTTATGTTGCACAAATAAGCATGTATACAATATGAGGATTACTAAAATAAGGCTTTTCGCCTGCTTAAAACATAATTAAAATAGTCTATGAAAACGCCTCACAAATTATTTGATTGACTGATGTTTAACAAACTTTAAATACATTTATTGTTTGTAGTTTATGCGAGTAGTACATATTTAAGTAAAATAATTTACAGTTAAAAACGCAATTAGTTAACTGAAAGTAACGACGTCGAGTCCCCCAGTGACCACGACTGCTGTAAATCATCCGAAACACCGCGCTTAAAACCGTTAAAGTGTTTTATTTAAATACATTTATTAAAATTTTGTATTAATGAATTTATATGGAAAATAACTCCTCTGTCTTGTCGCAGTGATTTCGTGTTTTATGTTTTCATAAGTCATAATGTAAACATAATCTTCAAACACCGACACATAGTTTATATCCTTTGGATAGAAAGATACCAAAACTGGATTTCGCACCCCGTAAGCCGCTTAAAGTATTACTGAGGGTCAGCGCTACTGAACCAGACACGGTGATTTATTATCAGATTAAGACATCATATAGGCGTTCTATATTTATGAATTATTCAATGTCTATCACTAGAAGTTATCCACACATTACAAATGAGCAAATAAAAAAATCTGCAAATGGAACGCGATCAATCAGTGCTCAGACTGCAGAATGTGACCTGTCAAATTTTGATGCATTAACTGTCAATTCGTGACGTCGACATTAATTACAGTACAATGGCCTATTGTGGGAAATGCAAAGTAGAGCTAATGTAAGGTGATACACTCCACTCCATTATTTTGGCTTTGGATATACGGAAATTCACAGGCTGAAATCAAAACGCTGTGGACGGTGGTTTTGAACCCGGACGGAATTGCGGTATTTGTGCCTACCATTTAATATCCAGATTTCCAGACGAAGTCCCTAACAAAAAATTATAAATTAAAAAATTAGAAACATGTTGGACAAGCTGGGTATCGAACCCAGGACTCGTTGATTATTAGCCATGCATTGCTACCATAAGACCACGAGCCCGTCGTTTTTCATAATATAGATAATCGCTGGGTCCTAGGTCGACATTCTGGGACCACGATTATAGTTCCCGGCAACTTATTTACTTTAATTTTTTTTTTACCAGTTACTAATATAAACAACAATTTCATAAAATGATTGAAATATTAATCGAAATTCATTATTATTGATTTTATGCTATAAAGATAATATTTCCTACGCGATTAATTATACTGTTTTGTAAATTACATTTTAATTCAAACACAACATGACGCAATCTGATAATTACTTTCTATAAATTAAATTCATCCGAACCTGAAGCTGAAATTCAATTACACTTGATTAACACTCGCCTTTTGAACGTATTATTAGGGGAGACTTCTATACAATGGAAGGCAATTTGTATTAAGTTGGCTTGAACAGCTAACAAATGAAAATTCACATAGAATTCAATATACTGCACTACCAATCCTGGACCTTGTGATCCATTAAACCAATAATCCCGTTTACCCCTCGTGGGGCATGGGGCGAACACATTTTTGTGTTCATTTCACTGATCCGTCCTTTAACAGGTAGTTGATCAGACTTCTGTGCCCTGCTCGACCGAAACATTTTTTTTTGTTTCCCTGGGATTCGAAGGCAGGACCTCTCGCGCTTAACGCAATGCTAGGCAATACATTTAACCATTTGACTACAGAGACGATTTATAAATATATAATTAAATCTAATAAAGGTAGATAAAACAAATCTAATGACAGTAGATCTTAAAATATTTATTTTTATTTTGATAAAATATTACTAAATTTGCAGCTATCTCATAACAGGTTGAACAGGCAGACAGACAGAGAAACAGAGAGATAAGTCTTAGTGACAGGGATTTCTTTTTGCCCGAAAACGAAACGAAATTATTATAAAATTTAGACTTTAAAAAGAATCAGTTTTCGTAGAGGATCTTAAGAATAATATATTATTAATTCTGAATTCTGACACTTCAAAGTCTGTCAAGATTTCTATGTCAAAACTTAGTTCTCTTGACAGCCGTGTTGTTTTTGAAGACAGGTCGTGTTTTTCTTTGTCGTAGAATTCTTGCGCTGTCTATATGCAAACGAACGGCTTTAATTTATTTGTGGCGCTTTTAAGCCATCATATTGGGCGTCGAAGCGTGTTTTACACAGATTATGCAAATACTCGATTTCTAGAATACTTAAGAGGGCGCTACACGCTTTTTACTACGTGTATAACTAGTATTTTCTCACGCGTTTAATTTGGTATGAAATTACTAGTTCTGCCCAAGTTGAAATGCAAGTTATTTTTTTTTTGCTTGTTTTACAATACGATATATAACTCTTTATTTTCTGATGATTTTTTGCTAGCTTTATACGAACGAAACACTTTAAACGGTTTAAAACGCGAAATACGTGTAGGTACTGTGATGAATGGAGGACAAAGTAACTGACAATTTCGCGGTTTTAACGGTTAAAACGGTTCTATTTAAGTATATACTAAATACTGTCTATAATTTACGCGAGTAGTACACATTTAAGTCAAACACTTTAACGGTTTCTAACGCGATATAACAGCAAGCACACACGGGGAGACTGATGCAAGCTCCGAAGCATCGGGCCGAAGTTAAAAATCATTTTCAAATAAGTTTAAGTAATAGATCGCGTTTTAAACCTTAGTTTTTATAGTATACTTCTTTCGCTAAAAGGCAATCCTAACATTTTCACCTATTCTTATTTATTTTTTTTCTTGTTAACCACGAAAAATATTAATCTCTATGTAGTTATAACTGGATATTAGACGTCACATTTAATAGCAAACAACATATCATGTGTTATAATTACTTATTTGATTCACGTTCCGATACTTTACAACTCAAACTTTTAGCCTCAAACTTGAAACTCTGCTGAGAAACTTCAAAAATACGTACACTCATCACTTTTCGTAAAAGCGGCGTCACGTTACACAAGTTTGAAGTCGTGAGGACGTAAACAGTATTTATCATACCTTTATTGGATACAAATATAATTATAACACGACAAGGTAAACTAAGGATATCACTTCGTTTCCAAATCGACCCTAGAAACTTTGTTGAGTATTTTTAAATCATTAGGACTTGCTACTATTTCAAACTATGAAATGTGAAGAAGAAAAAAAAAAAAAAAAAAAAAAAAAAAAAAAAAAAAAAAAAGTTTGTTTGTTTGTATCGACTCGCTAATCTTAAGAACTACTGGTTCGAATTGAAAAATTATTTTTACTGGTTAGAGCAATTATCGAGGATGGCTATAAAACATCGCGCTGAGACTAACAGGAACGAAGAAACAGCGGAAAATGTAAAAACTGGGAAAATTATTCATCTTTGTAGGTTTCCGATGCGTACGCTGCGGAAATGGTTCAAGATACACAAAAAATATGTATGTGAGAGTGATTCTTCTTTCAATTGTTAAAATAAAATGTCCGATGACGTAGATAGCAGTTTGCAAAATCAATTTTGGATGCCCAAAATAACTCTTCCACGCGGATGAAGTCGCTGACTTAGCTATTTCGATTATATATACCAACCCACGACTTCCCATATAGTTACTCTTGAGTGTGGTCACTTGGTCATTATATTTAGAAAAAAATTCAAGTAATACATCATTAAATAGATAGCAGGAAAATAAAAACTCCGCCCGGGATGCTACGATAAAAGAAACGTCGCTTCGGTTTAATTCTGTCTATTGAATGTCCTAAGCCAAAAGAGGTCGACAGCGCATTTTAGTTTCAAGTTAGTTAATAAGACCTCTTTCCTTATTAAAACTTTCGAAGGGACTATTCACTGCGAGGTGTGGCGGCGAGAACCACTCTACTTGAACAACATATAGGGAATTATGAATGTACTCAAATCTAACTACGCGAAATGATATTATTTAAACTTATTTATGATTTCTTTTTTAGTACGGCCCGACGTTTTGGATGCCAAAACATTTTAAACCGTTAAAAATGTTTTATTTAAATATGTACTACTCGCGTTAGCTACAGACTGTATTTAATAACCTCTGAGTCTAAGTGCTAGAACGTAATTTTAAGTAGTGAATCAAACTATCAATAAGAATAGCACTCGTAAATTAATT